AGGAGAGACCCCAACCCTACCTCCCAACCTAATGGACACTTATGTTGTGTAATATCTGAAGTCTGTTGCATTTCTGTCTGAGGTGTTTTTTGCATAGCAAAGCTGCCCTCCCTGTGGCGGGTGACTCTGAAGTGCCTTTTTTTCCTCCACCTGACTCAGTCCTCATAGAAACCCTCTGATCTCTATTAAGGTAGCGCGACTCGGGTTGCGAATGACTAGTCACCAATTCTTGTCATGTGTCTATGCCTATGTATGTCTGATCTCAGAATTGTGTGTACTGAAACTCTATCTTCCCTCTGGGATTAATAAAGTATCTTTGAATTGAATTGAATTTTGTATTGCTTATCTTATATGACTGATCAGCATTTAGAGTGATGCTATGACACTAAGGTAGGGATGTTTGATATTGCCTTTTTACTGATATCCAATTTAGTCTAAATTTCTGACCTTAAAAAAAATAAAAACAATACCGATACATGCAAGGTCCCCCCTCATTAAAAAATGAAAAACCAATTCATTTTAGGAAACTAACACTGCATTTCTCATATCATGTATACTTAAACTTTAAAAGTATCTATGCTAAATTTGACAACTACCTCTGATATATCATATTTTTACATTTTGAGTAGGAAGAGAATTAGCTGAAGAGTTTTATGTATAACATGTGCATGCTATGTAAACGTCGGGTCATTAACCGAGTAAAAACCGATACTGGTAATTTCCAATGTTATATATCGTATCGGACATACCTACACAACATCTTTGCTCCGTGTACAGAAAGCTGACACAAGTTGCAGCCTTTGACATGTCGCTTAATTCCTTTAGCTGTGTCGGGCCTTCTTGCATGGGTTGACTTCAAAAGTTAAACATATGTAGGAGTACATCCAATTATTATTGGATTATTCCATGAAAGTTTCAGTTAAATCTGTTCATGAGAAATGTGACCAACAATAGTATAAACAAACACCAGCACAAAAATAAATAACCATAGGCAAAAACATTATGGTCCTTTTGCAAATGTGGGCGATAAAAGGTCCATTTAAGAGTATAACATAAGAAAAGGTCAATTATATTTATGATATGTAAATGCATCTATACATCTGTTGGAACCAGAAACACACAGATGGTGTTTTTGCTTTCCACCCAGTTCCATCCGTCCAGATTTTTTATACATATGAGAAGAAGTTAAATGAGTTAAATATGCAAATCATTTGTCTACAGGCTCACGCTTCCTTATGTTTTATCCTTGTGTTCTATGTTAGGAGGTGATGGTTTCTGATTTTACAGCTAATTGTTCGTAAACACCTGGACTGAATAGAAAAAGAAGAGGATAGAGGGAGACAGAGAGGAAGAGATTGTGTGGACAATTCTAGGAAAACAGCTGTGCCGGATCCAAAAAACTAAACACAGGAAGCAAAATGTGTGTGTGTGTGTGTGTGTGTGTGTGTGTGTGTGTGTGTGTGTGTGTGTGTGTGTGTGTGTGTGTGTGTGTGTGTGTGTGTTTGAGGTGGTGGGTGGAAGTAGGTGAACAAAGTAAGCAAAAATACTAACTAAAGGAGATGGAGGAATGATCAGAAAGTAGAGGAGAATTTCATAAAATGTTCATGAGTGAGAAGATAAACTATTATTTTTAGACATTAATATAAACTAGAAAATATTTGTATATGATGACATAAAAAAACACAATGGGCCCGTTTCTACAACCGGAACCTCAGGGTAGTTTTACCGGACCTTCGCGGCTGCGTCTCAAATTTGATGGGCAAAGCTATTTAAAAGTCATATACAGTACTTTGATAAGTAGATACATACATTTCACTATTGGTAATTGGAAAAGAAGCTCTTCTTCTCCTCTCAGAATGAGCCCATATTGGCCCCTATAGTGTTTAGAAAACAACATTCTGATTCAACCTTTGGCATTGTTAGCGCAACGCTGGCATTTTTTACCCAATATGGTGTTGAATTACTCTGCGCATGCTCAACCTGTTTAATCTGATTGAATGCTTGGTGCATGTATACTCACAGCATGATTGGATCACTTCAGTCAGTGTCCATGTAAACAGAGATTTGGGATTTCCGGATAGGGGAAATCTAGCGCAGTGACTTCGTCCCCCGTTAGTCTTTTATAAAGGAGATAAACTGACAACCCCACAGCTGGCTGTTTCAATGTAACTTTCCTTCCAATGTTATTGAAACATTAGACCATTGTGATTATTTCAGTGTAAAATTCTTACACATTGTGCCTTTAAAATAGCTATTTCTAAACTTCCAACACAAATAACTGTGGCAAAAAGGACCAATTTTGGTCCACAACAGCTGGGAGGACCAAGCCATCACATTTTCCTGTGACCTTCCCCCCTCCATTATGGTGGAAACACAGCTTTGGATCACTCTTGCATATGATGCTGCTGGTTCTTTACGGGGTGTGAAACATCACTGAGTGACCAAAGCATGGACTCTGCGAGACCTCTGAAGGTGCCCTGTGGTATCTAGCACTGAGATGATAGTGCAGACACTACAGACCTGTAGGCTGTAAGATAGAATTCTCCAGATCAGACGTCTTCTAGCACAATCCCAGACTCTCCCTTGGTTTGTGTCACTTTCAGTAAGTTCTGGTTAGAGGTTTCAAAGGTTCTCCTTATCAGCTGATTGACCTTTTTTCTCCCTATCATCCAGAGAGTTTCCCTTCTCTCAAAGTTTTTTTGAATTCCAAAATCCTGTGAAAATATGCTGATTTTAGGTTGCACCTTTAGTCAAATGAACTAGATTCAAGCCATGATCTGATCATCCAGGTCTAATCTGCACAGATGTGTTCAAATCGTTAAAGAAAGGGGGGCTAAGAACTGTCGGTTAGCACCAGATAAAGCAGAAAATCATTCAGGTCAGAGGTCAAAGGGCACAGAAATGCCTCAGGATGTTTCACCATGTCAAATATGTTTATTCTATACGTCTAACTACTGGGAATTTTTCTATATGTTACATATCAGTCTTTTCCCATTAGAATGAATGAATGAATGAATAAATAAATAAATAAATAAATAAATAACTTCTGGCTCAGCTGGGAAGCAAGTGATTCTAATCTTTGGCACCAACATATTGAATTTGTATTCCTCTGAGTCACACAGAACGATATTGTGTTGAGAGCGTGCTTATTTGGGTGACTTATCATAAATGAGTATTGCTACTGACTGATAGTCAAGCCTGATGGAAAATGTTGTGAAACAGGTGAAAACTAGTGAGCGGTAAACCAAGCAGCACAGACTGATTCCACTTAAAAGCTCGGACTTATTGACTTATGATTACAGGAAAAGTGCAAAAGCAAAAGGCATTTTTCCTCTTTGTGAAGCTTTCATCAGTTTCATAAATGTGCTAATGTTTCCTGTCATACAATGACACATGAAACCTTATAAACTGATGGTAATCGCACCTGGAGAGCTTGACAAAAAGCTATCAACACACAGAAGTCAAGCCCGAAGGAAAGCATAGACAAGCGCCAACTTGATAAAGTGTTTACACAGTTACAGACTTGATAATCTATGGAACTGCTTCACACAGCAGATTAAACTGTCAGTCCAGCGAAGTCAAGAGTTTACAGCTCCTGATTTTTAAACGGCATGACCCTTCTGACGCCTTAACGACTTATAGATAAATAAAAGATAACAGGTTTCTTTTAATTGTGTCACATTAGAACAAAAGCTACTGAGGATTTAACTTCTGGCTTTAAATTTAGGCTTTTCTATTATTTTGGTTTGACATAAAAAGAAAGAGGATAAAAGTTTATCAGCTGCTTTCATGAAATTTTGTTGCTGAGTCACCAAACTAACAAATAAGATGTCAATATACCTTTAATGTCCAGAGAAAAGCAAAATATAAAAATAAGCCTTTGTGACTTTTTATATTTAAAGTAACGAGTTTTATAACACAATTTAAGACTGTGAGAATGTAATAATAATATATTGAGGTATTAATAATGTTAAGCACAAATGTTTAACTTTTTATTCAAACTTATTTATTTATTAACTTGTGTTTCCTGAGGATAAACTCCCTTGAAATGATCCATAATTAACTTCTACAGAACTTCTAATTAACTTCTACACAATATTTAAATATTCTTTATTTTAGTGCATGTTTTTGTAACAAATAAAGACTAATTTTGCCAGTTCAAAGGGTTCAAATGTGTTTCAGTGCAGTTTTTAGCAAATCCACAACTATAACCTTTCACAAATCTATTACGAATCGAGAGAATAAAAAACATTTTAAAATAGAACATTTCTGCGACAGAGAAGTTTTATCCCTGAAATCAATTCTGTAAACTTTAGCAGTTTTATCAAAGCAAATAAAGCGAAACTCAATCTGTTTGGGGGAGAAAGACAACACTGTTCCTACTGTTGGAGAGAGAGAGAGGAGGGGGGGGTGGTGGTGGTGGAATTTTAATCGCTTAATCTGCTGTTTAACTAAACAGCAGAACGAGCTGTCTGGACTGAACGTGCCCATGCACGGCCACGTTTTTGTGGCCCTTAATGAAATAAGCGGGAACTTTGTGTTAATGGAAAGGAGAGCGAACAGCTGAGGAACCATAAAGGCGTCGACACAGAAAATAGACAAACACAACACTTCTCACACCTCTGATAATGTGCTAGACACATGTAGGGGGCTGCACCTCAGCATCTCTGTGTTTACAGCTGCAGCATCCACTGCAGCCCCACCGTAGGTAGCTATTACCTTCACTAAAACACTAATGAATCACAGAAATGAACAGCTTCAACAATACTAATCACATTCACCACTTAGGAGATGCAAACGTTATCATTCATCAACTGTCTGGGCACAAGCACTCATGTTAAAACAATGGATCCCTAAACAGTGAGTAAAACTGCTTCTTGATTAAATTTGCATGAAAACAAAAGCCTTAAAAATCCACTCACTGTCATCTAAACTTCTCATCTTCTTGGAGAGACAGTAAGCAGAACACAGAAATGTAGTTTAATGATTGGAGCACTCACAGGTTCTTGGGTTTCTTTTTCTTTGTCCCGTCAGGGCCGACCTCGCAGCTGCAGGGCGATCCGGCGCTCAGCTGAGGGGAGAGGAAGGAGAGGACACACTGCATCATCCGCTCTCCACACTTAAACCAGGCCCGCTAAGCTCATGCAGATATTTTACAGCTTCTAAAGGCAACTTAAACAGCTTTTAAACTAGTAAATCCTCAAGTGTGTCCAGCAGAGATAGACCCAGAGAGACCCAGAGAGTGGCACATACAGCAAAGCCACCCAAACGGCTAATCCACAGCAGCGGTGCACATTGTAAATCCCACAAATCTCTCTGAGGTGTGAGCCAGTATGTTGCTCAATTAATTCTGAATGAGTCAGCGGCCGATGGCGGTTTTAAACGGTGTGAAACAAAGTAAGGATGTGGTGTGAGAATGTGTGAAGGACCACAGCTGTTGTTTCTGTTAGCCTCCAGCTGCGCCCAAGGTTGGACGTGTTGAACCAAGACCATTGGTCTCACATTACACTTTCTGCCAACTCTACGTTTTGATTGGTTGGGAGGAAAACGGAAGTTTCTTCAGGGTGGGGAAGGGGTCAATCTGCACTAATCTGATGGCCTGAAGCTGCCCATTGTACATATGTGTATATATGTGTGTGAGAGAGAGAGAGAGAGAGAGAGAGAGAGAGAGAGAGAGAGAGAGAGAGAGAGAGAGAGAGAGAGAGAGAGAGAGAGAGAGAGAGAGAGAGAGAGAGAAAGAAAGAGAGAAGCTAAAAAATAATGAGCCATTGTTTTACAGGAACAGCTAGGATGCTGACCAGCTGGTAACACATGGTTTGTGTTTTCTTCCTTTCTGGGACCCTTTCTGAGTTTAACCTTCAGGATGAGGACAATTTTATTATCGTTTTTAAACGAGAACATGTTGGCTGGCCTTCCTTTCTCCATCTTGCTCTTGTGAGGAACAGGAACACAAAGGAGTCTCCTCCAGGCTTTAAACAGGCCGTAACAAGTTACAACAAATTAGGAACGCTTTCCAACTTTCCCACAAGTCTCTTTTGAATCCGGAATAAATGTTTCATCAAGCTTTTACGGAAACCAGCATTTTTTTACGTTGTTCGTTCACGTCTACACGCTTACGACTCTTTAAGAGTTTCACATTTGATGCTGTTTTCTTTGCAGTTGGCAGGAAGTTTGGGATCAATAGAGAAAGCTGCACATATTGGAGACGTTTTCCACAATTACAACACAAACGTGCAGTTTCATGTGCGCACAAGAGGAAAAGGGCACATTCTGTTTTGGTTTTAATCCATTTATACAATTTTGCTGAGCCTTGTGACTACGAATTTCCTGCTCTACAGCCTTTTAATGTGAAGCCCCTCTGCACAAACCAGCTGAACAAAAAACAATTATAATGTTGCTATTGTCATTGGTTTTATGACATATTTAAATTGTTTGTAACTGCAGTAAAGGAAAAACGAACACATTGAGCCCTTAAAATTGCATTTTCCTTTTGGTAGCATCAGTTTTTCAGATCAATCAGTTTCAGATGGGAGTCTCTTTCTTTGCTTCATCGTAAAGCAGAATAAACTGTTGATGGTTTTGACCAGCTTACGATGCTACTGACTGATGATCCTGGGGATGACAGAGAAAACAAATGAATGAATGATAAATGACCCGCACTTGTATAGCGCCTCTCAGAGTAAGGACTCCAAAGCGCTTTACACTACAGTGTATCATTCATCCATTCACACACTCATTCACACACTGATGGGGATGAGCTACGATGTAGCCACAGCTGCCCTGGGGCGCACTGACAGGGGCGAGGCTGCCGACCACCACCAGCAGGCAAGGTGGGTTAAGTGTCTTGCCCAAGGACACAACAGCAGAGTTCTCTGTCCGGAGCCGGGATCGAACCTGCAACCTTCCGATTACTGGACAACCCGCTCTACCTGTTGAGCTACTGCTGCCAAAACCCTGCCCTTTCAAGTTTTACCCTCATTTCAATAAGTTGAATAAATCCCTTTGGATGGATTTACCCGTCTACCCACATTTCCTTGTTTTTATGTACAAAACTGAAACAAAATCCATTTTGGACTTATGATTAGCAAATCATGTGAATTTCTGAGCTACCTGTTTCATTATGTCTTAGTCCTAATTAAAGAGGCAGTGTCTGCTGCATCTTTCCATTTTCATTCCTGCTTGAGATTGTTGTTGGAAATTTACAAAGATGCAATCCTAACATTTAGGCTGAAGTCACAGTTGACTGTCAGAAGTCAAAGAGTGTGGGCAGTGTCTAAAAATAAAAGCTAAGAGCAAAAACAAATTATCCTTAGAGCTGCTGTTTGACGGGCCTGTCACACTCTGAGTAGCTATGTGTATCGACACGTGTGTGTGTGTGTGTGTGTGTGTGTGTGTTTATGTGTGTGGGGTATGTTACCCTTCTTACATTCACACAGCAATTTGAAAATAATCGGACAAATTTGGGTCGTTATAAAGAACAATTACAGTTGATCTGTTGGACACACAATAATGTTGCTCATAGTGCCAAATGCATTTAGTCATTATTTTGGATTTACAGGTGGGCCACATAATTCATGCCTTAGCAAAGGCATGCAAAATAACACTTTAATGTTACCTTGATGTATTTTTCAGAGGAAGAAGAAACAAGCCTTGCATCTATTCATTCATCCTTTTTAAGTTCATTGAGGAAGATGAAAATCTTCAAGGGCAAAAGGAGTTTCCAAAATGTCTCAAAGGTTTAAAGGATCTTAATTTCATCAATGAATGCAGGGATTTGCTCTCGTGTCCCAGGAAGTTTGGACATCATTGTGCAACGGGCATCTGAACCCATTTTCAAACTCTTTACAGGTTGGTTTCTTTGAGACAGAAAGTGCAAGAAACGTAGGACCTCTTTAGGAGGGCTTGGTGATTCAATTACTAATAACATGAGGTTAAACTATAAACAAACTGAGACACTCTGTCACTCGATTTGTGGGTGACGGTGGTGGATTCAAGTGATCGCCCTGTAATTTGGAAGGTTGCATGTTCGAGTCCCGCTCAGTCTGTCGCTGTGTCCTTGGGCAAGACACCTAACCCCCCTTGCCTGCTGGTGGTGGTCGGAAGGACCGGTGGCGCCTGTGCTCGGCAGCCTCGCCTCTGTCAGTGCACCCCAGGGCAGCTGTGGCTACATCGTAGCTCATCCCCACCAGGGTGTGAATGTGTGTGTGAATGGGTGAATGACTGATTGTGTTGTAAAGCGCTTTTTTTGGGGGGAGGGGGATGGGGGTGGGGGTGGGGGGGATGTTCCAGGACTCTAGAAAGTGCTATATCAAATACAGGCCATTTACCATTTGATTTCCACATTAAACTTTACACGACTGCTGCAAAATGACAACAGTATCATTAACAGAGTGTGACTGAACCATATTTAGGAGGATTTGTCTATAAGGAGAAGATCGGTGCAGAAATTGAGAAAGTTTGTTTTTTTACAATAAGACTGACGATGATCATAATTCTATTTTAGAAAAATTTCAGTCTGGCTTCAGACAATAGGACAGAATTCTGCTATGTTAGCAAGTGTCCTGTTGCCCTGGTGTTATTGGACCTCACAGCAGTTTTGAACCACGCTGTCCTTCCACCTCGCCCAAGCCACGATGTTATGTATGTCATGTAAACGCACTGACTGACACCCCCAGACGTGAGCATATCACACCCACTTTGACTGCTCTCCATTAGCTGTCTGTTTGTTTTTGAATATATTTTGTTTGTTTTTAAAGCTCTGGCCTTATCCTACATTTCTGACCTATTGACTTTTTAGCATGAGTGGTAGATTCTTGCGGTCTTCATCCCAGTTTCCTTAAACTGTTCCGAAAACGAGATATAAACACTGGGGTGACCGGGCTTTCTCTGTAGCAGCACCCCAACTCTGGAACCAGCTCCCACTGGATTTGCGTTTAATCTCTGACCTTAAATCCAATCTTAAAACTTTTTTATTCAGGAAAGCTTTTAACGCTCTGTAGTGGTGACTTTCATTACGGATTTCTGGCTCTGTTTGCCCTCTTATTTTGTGTGCTTAATCTACATTTACTTTCGTGTTTAATTTAGCCTTGTAACACACTTTGGCTGTCTAGCTGACTTTAAAGGGCTATTATAACCAGGGCTATATTACTTTTAGACAGAAAACCCCAACTGGTGGAGCTGGTAACCTCAGAGAAACATCCTTCAAAACTACACAAAACCACTGGAAAGAGACGGACTCTGCCCTCTTTGGAGACATCTGTCCTGATGTCAGGTCAGCTGTTGCTCAACAGCACAGCTCAGTTCAAGCTGAATGAGATTCACAAACACAACAAGGAAATATTTGGGGTCTGTCGACACCACAGTTATTCCTGCATACAAGATTTCAAAATGCTCACACATTTTAAAGGAGTTCCAGGGAACCCTGATAAAATCTCAGCTGGAACAATTGAGTTTAAAAAGGCAGCCTTATAGATCATTTTAAAATTTTCTTTCTATCAGACTAAAGTGGAATAGCCACATTCAATCATTATTTATGGAAACTTTTGAATGATGCACAAACTTTCCAGCACCAGCTGCACAGAGAAGCTCTGTTTGCCTGTTTAATCCACGCACGCCTGCTTAAACTGAGTCACCATGTCAATATTGTTCAGAAATTTTCATTTAAATGCAAAAGTCTAAGAATGTGTCAGCATCACAGTTTACTTTATAAAGTTTCTAGTTTTTGCTGTGCTCACTTTGGCTGCCAGTTCCTACCCTGGCTCACACGCACGCACACACACACACACACACACACACACACACACACACACACACACACACACACACACACACACACACACACACACACACACACACACACGCACACGCACACGCACACGCACACACACACACCATCACAAAGTGGCAATGGTCAGTGACACACCATTCTGACCTAAAAGTACAATAGAATAGAATAGAATGCCTTTATTGTCACTATACAGGTGTAAAGTGAGATACAGAGCATCTCCTACTCAGTGTAAAACAAACAACCTGGGGGGGGGTACAGTTCTGCAGCGCTGTGTACATATGGAC